CGATACAATTACGAAGTCTCCAACTCGAATGAAAAACTCTTGTAGATGTGCATTATTCCTATAGGTCTCATTGATGCAAAATTAGACGTAGTATCTGCGGTGTTTCCAAAATCTTGTATTTAATTGAAATGTTTTGTTTTTTTTACCATCTTATGTTTAGGCAATTCACTAGAGCCAGCTGCAGCAAATCTGAGTATTGGATTGATTGCTCGCCTATTCACTTTTCCTTCCAAGGTTACGTTTTGCTGCCATTTCAGTTTTCGTTTTTGATTTTCTTGTAGTTCCATTTTCTTTTACTGACTTCTTCTTAGCCGCTTTTTTTGCAACAGCAGCATCTTGTTGGTTTTAACATTTTTTTTAACAACTCCATCAGCTGTGGACTGTAATCCCATTTTTTCTGCAAGAAAATTTAAAACAGCGTCACTTACTTGCGCAGTAGGTATCAGTTTTATAGTTTGGAATTCTGGTTAGTACTTTCTTTCCTTTTTGGGGGGAAAATGCCACATTTTCTAAAGCCACTTTCCAAATTTTTTCCGCCATTTACACTAATTATTTCAACCAGTTTTTTCAAAAGGGTGGAAAAGGTGCTTTTTGGGATAACGTTGGTGTTAACATTCAGTGTTTTGTATTCTACCAAAATATTTCGTCAAGCTATTTTCATCGGTCGAAAGTCGAAAGTAGGTGACATAATAATGGCTGTGTTAGTTGCGTAGAATTGGCAGGAAGACACACGAACAATGACGTAATATATAGACTGAGCAGTCCCGTATTCTCGCTATATAATCGGGTGTCCGAAAGATCTCCGCTCAAGATTGAAGGTATATTTACCAGAACAGCGGCGTGCTTATTTATATTTTAATGACAATAATTATTTTTTTAATTAAAATTAAATATTTATGATTTTTTTTGTTCCCGTCTATAAGAGAAAAAATTATTTTTATAAAATAGTATGACATTTTACTAAAATAGTAAATAAATAACTCCCAACAATTTAAAATAAAATTTGCTTGTCACATAAAATATGTAACACACAAAATGGCGGAAATGTTTTCAAATTCAAGATCAACTTCGTGATGCTTCGTAAGAAATCATGAACTTCGTGCATCTTCGTATCAAAACAATAAACAATAACAAAGGTATTTGTGTTGTGGACACTTACTAAAGCGTTTACCGGGTCTATATATTATACGTCATTGCACACGAATTTATTGACATATAAGACGATACATTGTTACCAATAACACTTTAACGCCAGGAATATGTTTCAATTTTGCCAATGAGAAGTGAACCAGTCTTTGAAACAATTTGGGCCATTTTCTACCCAAGTCGACCACAGTTTATTCTATTTATATACGACGTATGGAGGTAGCATTTTTCCAGCCGCATTTAACAAAACATTGATGTTGTCGATTTACTAAAATTCATCATTCTTTCAGGATATTTAGTTTCACGTTGTGTTAAAATTTTCTTTTTGTTGAATTCGTCACTTAAATTTGTTTTATCGTAGTTCCAGATGTTGTTAGCTAGGACATCGACGAGATCATACTGCAATTTGGTAAAGTAGTCTCTTATAGAGACTTGGTGGAGAAATTGTAAACACCATGAGATTTGCAGATGACACGGTAATTATGGCTGAGAGTATAGAAGAACTACAAACTTTACTAGATGCAATAAATAGTTAATGCATTCAAATGGGACTTGACATCAACACAGATAAGACCAAATTTATGATGATATCAACGAGTCCAATAAATAATGAACAACTAACTCTTGGCCGAGGACAACCACTACATTAAAGATTCCATTGAATAGTCCTAGTATAAAATCATATATGGTAATGCTCAAAACTAAATACGATTCCGGAGTAAGTTCCCCAATCGGATCTCCGGGAAGGGGGGGGGACAGTTATGAGTACCTATAAAAAGAAAAAGCAGCAAAACCACCATATTTAAAAATTTGCACATGGAATGTGAAAACTATGGCAAGGAGTGGAAAAATAGACAATGCCATTCAGGAAATGGAAAGAATGACCACTGACATAATGGGAATAAGTGAGATGAGATGGCCCGGAACAGGAAGCATTGACAAAAAAGATCACAGAATATTCTACTCAGGGTCACTAGATGGAAAACTAGAGCATGGAGTTGGTGTGATAATAACGAGAACAATTAGTAGACGTATTTTAAATTTTGTCCCAGTGTCCAACAGAGTAATACTACTGCAAATAAAAGCCAATCCAGTGAATGTAAATATAATACAAAATATACGCTCCCACTTCAGATAAAGACGACGAGGAAGTAGAGACTCTCTACCAAAGCATAGAAGATATATTAGAACGAATATCTAAACATGAAGTCAGCATCATAATGGGGGATTTCAATGCAAAACTTGGGGCCGAACGGAAAACGTCTCTAATCGAACCTTTTGGGTTAGGACAAAGAAACGAAAGAGGTGACAGACTAGAAATATTCGCAGAAGATAACAAGCTAGTGGTTCTAAACACATTTTATAAACTACCACCGAGGAGATTGTATACATGGAAGGCATCAGATAAACTCCATAACGTAATTAGAAACCAGATAGATTATATATTGGTAAATAGAAGATTCAGAAACAGTTTTGAATCTATCCAGGAGCGGACATTGAATCTGACCACATACCTTTAGTGGGAGTCATGGATGTGAGACTGAAGACAATAAAGAAAAAGTCTAGACCTAACTACGACATGACAGCCCTGCAACATCCGGAAATTAAAAAGCAAGTGGGGAATATATTAACAACCAAGTTAAACAACTAAAAGAAGAAAATAACATCCAACGAGAAATCAACCAATTCGAAGAAATAATTAAGAAAACTAAACAAGCTCTGCTAAAACCAAACAAAGAAACAAAGAAAAAATCTTGGATGACTCCAGAAATCCTTTACTTAATGGAACGCAGAAGGTTAATTAAAGGAAATAAAAATGAGTATAAAAAAATGCAGGCGCACATCAGAAGAAAAATAAGAGAAGCTAAAGAAAAAGAAGCTGTAGAGAAATGTAAAGAAATAGAAAGACTACAAGCCAAGCATGACAATTTTAATGTATACAAAAAGGTAAAAGAAATAACGGGTACTTTTAAAAAGCGAACACAAATGAAACTCATAGACACCAATGGAAAATTAATTATTGACACCCAAGAGATGAAAGACAAATGGAGAATATATTTGCAGACACTTTTTCAAGATCAAAGAACGGATTATAGGCATCCATTTTCAGAGAGGATGACGGGCCCGGACATACTTAAATCCGAGGTAGAAGAAGCAATAAAACGGATGAAAAGCAGGAAAGCTGTAGGGCCTGATAATATCGAAGCTGAATTTTTAAAACTCTTGGAGGAAGAAGGAATAAATTGGATCACGGCTTTCTTCAATAAAATATACAATACAGGAATCATCCCTGATAAATGGCTAGAATCAGAATTCATAGCGATACCTAAAAAACAGGGGGCTAAAAAGTGCGAAGAATATCGAACAATAAGCCTAATGAGCCACATGTTGAAACTGTTTCTTAGAGTCATCCATGGAAGAATTTATAAGAAGTGCGAGGAACAAATATCGGACAGACAGTTCGGCTTCAGTAACGCTGTGGGTACCAGAGAGGCACTTTTTGGAGTACAGGTACTTCAAAGATGCAGGGACGTTAACTGCGACGTATACGCGTGCTTGATCGACTATGAAAAGGCATTTGACAGAGTTCAACATCAAAAGATGATAAACATTTAAGAGATTTAAAGATGATAAACACTTTTTAGAAGGCATCCTTTTAAATGGTGAAAGAGTAAACAATGTTAGATATGCCGACGACACCATGGTGATAGCAGATAGTTTAGAGGGACTTCAGAGGCTAATGGACAGAATAAACGAGTACAGTCAACAGTACGTACTAAACATTAATACCCACAAAACGAAACAAATGATTATCAGCAAGGAGAATATAAATGGGGCTCATCTATACATTAATGGGACGCAGATAGAGCGAGTAAAACAGTATTGTTACCCGGGAACTATTATTAACGAACAGTGGAGCAATGTACAGGAAATAAATTGCCGCATAGGAAGGGCAAGAACGGTCTTTAACAAAATGAGCGCCATCTTCAAAAGTCACAACATATCCCTTGATACAAAAATGAGACATTTGAGATGCAATTTTCACTGATTTCTGCTCTCGATCGTTTGATGTTGCTTGCAAAACGTTGAATTAACAACGGATTTCGTTTAAGGAAAGCATTTAACCAGTATTTTTTTGGCAAGTTATTTTAAAATTACTTAATAATTCGACGATCACGATCTAAATAATTTTTCACTAAACTTCGTAAATCTGTCTGATCCAATGGAAATCCGTATAAAGATAAGCTACAAATATGAGACGTGAAGGAATCCTGTTCAGCTTTCATAAAAATTATCTGACTACCATATTGTTTTGTATGCCTATTTTTTAATCTATTTTTTAAAGTACTTACTGGCACTCCAAATTCTATGGCAGCTTTTCTCTGAGATAGAACTCCATTTCTGATAGCTTCTAGAGCTCTTTCGACTGTGTCTGGCCTGTAATTTCCATAATGTCTACTACCAGTAACACGTTTATAATTGGAGGGCATCAAAAAGAGAAAAAAAGTTACCCATGTCATTAGTACTATAAAGTTAATAAACCCTGCAGTTGTTATTAGGCTAAATTCAAATTTAAAATAAGCATTTACTTACTTTAATTTAGATTTAAATAAAGAGTCATCAGTAGACCTGTTTTTACGAAAACCTTGTTGTTTCCGTTCTTCTGTAATAATTTTTATTCTATTAGTAATAATTTTAGAATATATTTTATTGATTACACATTTAAAAACAAAGATAAAGAACAAAGGAGAATGTTCAGTGGTTTCATATTTTACTTCTTTCCTAATAGTTTGTCAAAGTATCTTTATTCTAAAAAATCATATAGATATTATTATAAAGATTTTAAATTTTAGGTCTTTTGTAGTGTACAATGGACAGTCTTTGGAATACAAGACAGCGAGACATTATCCCAAGATGGTATTAATTCAAGTTCGACGATGTTGTTTGGGTGCGATACCTTTTGTGCTGTTTGATGCTCCAAGAATGACAACATTATTTTTAACCATTCCCGAGGATGAACCAGAACAAAAGAATGTTCGGATCATGTAAGAAATAATCTTGTTTATTTTGTATAGTAGAAGCCAAAGTTAGAATGTGGGCACAGTGAGAAATCAGGACTGTACCCGCTTCGTTTCAAAAATCATTACCTATTAATTAAACTGAGTTAAATAAGAGAATAAACAAAAAAAAAACAAATTAATTATATAAAAAATGCCTCGTAAATACTTATATAAATATTATTGTGATATTTAAAGTCTTGGTGCGCCAAGCAATTTATTCGCTAATTAATTGATTAATTTATTAAAATTATTTAAATGATATGATTATGACTCTATCACACTTTTTAATTCTCTTATCTCAGGGTTAAATTCGTGCTTCAATATCTATGCTATTACATGTGAAAGGTAAGGTCCAAAGAATACCGGAATAATAAAAAAAACACATGTAAGAAATAATCTTGTTTATTTTGTATAGTAGAAGCCAAAGTTAGAATGTGGGCACAGTGAGAAATCAGGACTGTACCCGCTTCGTTTCAAAAATCATTACCTATTAATTAAACTGAGTTAAATAAGAGAATAAACAAAAAAAAAACAAATTAATTCTATAAAAAATACCTCGTAAATACTTATATAAATATTATTGTGATATTTAAAGTCTTGGTGCGCCAAGCAATTTATTCGCTAATTAATTGATTAATTTATTAAAATTATTTAAATGATATGATTATGACTCTATCACACTTTTTAATTCTCTTATCTCAGGGTTAAATTCGTGCTTCAATATCTATGCTATTACATGTGAAAGGTAAGGTCCAAAGAATACCGGAATAATAAAAAAAACACATATGATATAACACTATATATTGAAATAGAATATATGAAATACTTGACACTCAAATGTTTTCAATAAACAAAATCTCATATAATGATTCTCAGAATTTTGTTCTACGTACGTGAACCTTCAAAATTAATGGTACAAACAATATTAATTGAAATCTCAAAATCCCAAATTATTCTAACTCTCCTAATCGGATATTTATATCCTTTCTAAATTAAGTGTAAAAATTGTGTTATCAATAAAAGAAAAACTGCAGAAAACAAAATATCTCTCTCTGATGATGAGTGGTCCAAATCCTTGTTCCTTGTATATTATATTATCTACTCTCAACCGCTCCCTAGGTAATCAGCAATCTTACAACAAATTGTTGCAAGTATATCGTCCTTAACGATCTCCTTCAAAAGCACGAATCATTCAAATTATGATAGCCTTTCTCCTCTCGATAAACTGAATCTCTCGTTGGCCCGAGTGAAAAATGGCTCTTGGAATATCTTCTCTTTATGATAAACTGAATCTCTCGTTGGTCTGAACAGTGACTCTTGGAATATGAGTAGAAAAACATGACTTACAATATTTTGCTGCTTCAGCTTCTGTCAGATACACTAACTCCACAAAAACTCACTAACATTCAACACTACTGCTTGCTACCTCTCGGGAACCGTCAGAGAACAATCACTGTTCGTCTTACAGACTTGGAAAACCAACTGATTCTCTCTTCCTTCTCAAAAATCTAGCTAAACTTTCATTCCTACATACCTATCCCACCTTTTTTAATCTCCGCCAATCAAAGCTCGTCACAATTCTCCCATTTTTTCATTTCGATAACAAACAAATTTTTACCTATAATTATAAAATTTCCTAAAACTTATTTACAAATAATATTTTTCTACAATTCTTAAAAACTAACAAAAACCTCTTTCTAAAATCTATTCTATTGTCCTTAATCGCTGCATTAATGTATTTGGAAAACCCGGTTCAATTGTCTTTGGATTTCACTTAAAATTATGCGGGTCACTATATTATAACAACAAGTATATTATAACAAATAAGATAATTTATGCATAGCTTACATTTTGTTTAATACAGGTAATCCAAAAATTTAAATACTTTCCTTCTTCGAAATGTTTGTTGGTTATTATCCTACTTATCTGAATTATTTTAATGTTTTTGAACTTTGAAGTATTTTAAACACACCAATATTTTTCTCGATTTTACATATCATAACAATATATACAAAAAATGCAAGTAGTTTACCTTATAAGACACGATAAATATGTATACATAAAATACACAAGAAGATCATAACTAAAATGTACTGTACGTGTAGTAATAAATAACAAATGAGCATTAGATATGAGATATTTCTAGTTAATTAATACTAATCGCAATCCATATCTAAATCGTCCTCATCCTCTGAATCATCTCATATGATAATTATCATCGGTTCAATATCTTCCTGCAAATTGTCCACCGCAAACATTTTTTCTTCTAGTCTTTTGACGTGGTTCACGTAATTACGCCACTGCTCTTTAGATACGCGTTGGTAAGCTTCTTTTATCACCCGTTCTACTGTTTTTTCTTTAAAATCGACGTTGTTGGAAGCCACATACCTTTTTACTTGACTTTATACATCTCAATCGGGTTCACCTCGCAATGGTAAGGCGGCAGTCTCAAAATCTGAACGCCATATTTTTCCGCAATTGTTTCAATTTTTTACTTGTAGGACTCGTCTCTAAATGCGGCTGCAGTATCTAGTAATTCACTTTTTAGGTAATCTTTCTTGAAGAAAATGTTTTTTTCGATTAGGCAATCCTTGATTTGCCTTTTGTTCTACAATTTTTTCGGGAAATCAAATTTGCGTGGTATGACGGGTTATCCACAACGACGTTTTCTTTGTCTTTCGACAGGTTTGAAATTAACGTCTCAAACCACTCTTCATATAAATGTTTCATTTCATCGTGGTAATCAGCGATTATTTTCTTGGCCAAGAAAGTTAATTCGGCCCATGCCACAAAACCAGTTTCGCTTCCAGCATGATTAAGAACAAACCAAGGACCTCTTTGAGTTGGAGCTTTCAGTTCAGTAGGGAGATCTTTTCTGAAATCATCTCCTAGATTTTGGATCGTTCTGTCTGTCGATTCCTTTTTCACTAAAGCACCGACATAAGTCCAAGAATCATAGGTATAAACGAGATTTACAATCAATGTTGTTTTTTGTCTCAGATACTTGTGTCTCCAGGGTATGATATCTTTTCTTTCCATCATTATCGAATCTCAACTTGTTTTACCATATTAAAAACCATGTTATTTAGTAGCCTACAAAATGTGAGTTTTGAAAAAGCTGGTAGGTCCTCATAATTATTCACTATATTCATTATGCTGTCGACGGTTGGTGGTATGTTTTCCAATAAAAAAATCATGGACAATTTTCCTTATTCGAGATTTCACTCCCACATCGTAAGTATTCTCACGTGAATTGAACTGAAAACTGTTTTTCTTTCTTTTTTTGTACCGGTTTCAGTTCACCTCACTGGGCCTCTTCGCGGATATCATAAATTTTGTGAACACTCACACCGCATATTTTCTAAACTTGTTTCACAGTAATAGTCAAGCTGTCATCATTTTTTAAGTTCAGATGATAGTTCAATACATTTAATACCACAACGTTTTACTTACACACTAAAAGTCATATCCTGTTTGAAATGCATGACAGATACTGATACAGATACAGATACTTTCATCCGCTTGCGAAAATGAAATAGAATTGAGCTTTCCTAGTTTTTGACAGGTTTTTGGTCTAATGATCAGTATCCAAATCGACAAAGAGACATGTTTGCGTAAACAATGGAGATTAAAACTAATTTGCTTCTGCTAATGACTTTATAATAATCTTTATTTCCCAAAGAATGTGTTTACAATGGATGCTATTGAAAATTGATAAATATAGATAAGTTATCGACAATGAGTTTGATATATTTTACTTTTTTTATAGTATTTTTCTTCACGTTATTGTTTAGTTCGACAATGTAACTCTCTTATTTATACAGCGATGATTGAATCGTGCTTTAGTTGAAACAATAAATAATGATAGTCTTTTATACAACCGTAGGCAATTGTTGTGTGCGTGTTTATTCCAGTAGTATCATTCTTAAATCCGGTCCTGATGCGCCGCTCGGATCAAACCGCATCGTGGTCGGCCGTTCTCCCGTAAAAAATACATTGCCTATCTTACCTGTACTGCGTTCTAACTGTAGCTTCTACTATAGTTAACTTCAGATTCAAATTTGTAAGAACGTGAGGTTATTAGTTACATTCGATATCTTTTGAATGATAAATATTCAAATACAAATAATCTACTGTAAACACATTTAAATCAGTACCGCCATTACGAATACGATTCTTTAACAAATAGAAGACAACTAAAACAGTAGTCCCGCAATTAACACATTAAAGGCTTATATTCTTGTATTTATATTTTATAGGTATATATTTGGGCAGAAAAATTAACAGATATTTCCAAAGAAATTGGATGAAGAAATTGCAAGTACTGTATTTATAAATATGCTCCAGATCGTCTCTAATATGAAACTTTTGCAATTCACTCCGCTGACAACACTGAAATGCTAATATGGACCTTACCTTTATTCTGTTGTATAGATATTAAAAAAGAGAGGCATAACACAATTTCAAACTTTTTATATATGGATGAACCCATTCTGAAAATGAGAAACAACTGACAGCAGTTTGTAAACACAATTAAAAAGTTACAGGTTTTATTTGAGATACATACAGAGAAATTAGGGACATAAGCAGCTGGAATTGATAAATTATTTAAAGGTCGGTAGGGGAAGAAACATAAAAAAAACAAGGAATCGTGGCTCAGAAACATGCAAAAATAGATCAAGAAAAACGGAAATACGCTAATTCATCAGGTTTTTTCATAATAATCGATCGCATACCTCGAAAATGCAAAAAATGAGAAAAAGTTTCATGGACACAATTTAGATTCCGCGATGCTTTAGGTACACCAGAGATGTTTTCACAATACCTGTTCTGATGTCAGAGATGCATAAATGTTAATTGCATTTGTTAATTTATAGGTATATTTGTTTTGCAGATTACAGCAAGAGTTTTTTGGAGTAAAGTCTGATAAGCTCATAGCAATCTTGAGAGAAGCTTAGTCAAGGGTATGGACAGGATCTGAATAAAAAGAAAACAAAATTCATAGTAGTCAAATCGTAATTGATAGGTTCGATAGCTAAACATAACTCGGTACCGACATAAATAGCCAATGACACCACTTTGTCGAAATAAAACAACACATAGCAAAGGCAAGATCAGCATTTGTAAAGAGTAAATCTATCTTCAGGAGCCATGATTTATCATTCAAAATCAGAGTCTCCATCCTCGAATGTTATATATTTTTTACATTTCTGTACTGTAAGTATAGACAGACACTTTTTAACACTTCTTTGAAGACACTTGAACATTTGAGATGTGGTGTTACAGGAACATCTTAAGGATTTCATATGTGGACCGGATAAATAATGTTGAGGTTATACGGAAAATGGGGATGGAAAGTGAAATTTTTCATACAATCAGAGGAAAATGTTAGGAAAGACCATATTATCAGAAATGAGAAGAGATATGGCTCATTACAATTCATTCTTCAGGGGAAAGCGTTTGGAAAAAGAGGACCAGCGAGGCAAAAAATAACTTGGCTCCAGAACTTAAGAAAATTTTTCAACAAATTTACAACCAGATTATACTGAATAACTGCCAGCGAAATAACGATAGGCACCCTAAGAGGAAGACCTCAAAAGAGGTGGCACCCAGAAAATCTTCTATAATTTGAATAAATAAATTCTAATTTAAAAAGTCTTTTAAATTATAACTAAATTAAATTAAAAAAAAAACCTATTTAAAAAAATAGTAAATTACATTAGAATTTCACAAGAAAATTGCTTCAGAAAAAATATTAAGCAAGGAAATATCTCAGCAATAAAAGGTGTTTTTTAGAGGTATACAAATGTAAGTTGGTAACACTTTTGGTATTTTAGCAAGAATAAACTTAACTCCTAAACATCGTCTCCAGATTGTACAAGGTTATTTTGAAAATTGTGATTTTCTTCGAAATAAGTATAATATAATTTTATGGTCAACATAATTGTCCATCAGAGCAAGTAATTCGATTTACCATAAAATGTTTTTGCACCACGTTTACTCTAAATGATAATATGCATCGACACACATGTCGTAATACACATAGCATACAGAAAGACATGAATCAGTCTATATGCCTTCGTGCACAGCAGTGTGATACGTGTCCATCGACTTTAAGAATTAAAGGTACATCATCACCTAGCAAGCCGTAGATTCGGTGAGTGCATCCCAAACAATATTGCCGTTGATTCCGATTTTTATAAGCGAATTTTTTTTAGCGATGAAGCTCACTTTTGGTTGAATGGCTACGTTAACAAACAAAACTGCCCTATTTGGAGTTAAAATAATCCTCAAATGTATGTTAAGAAACCATTACATTCAGAAAAAGTGACTGTTTGGTGATTTATGGTCTGGTTGAATCATTAGACCGCACTTCTTCAAAAACGAAGCTGGCTAGAATGTTACAGTCAATGGTGACCGCTATAGAGTCATGATTACTGCCTTTTTCATCCCAGAATTGGACAGAATGATGTGCAGGAGCTGTCGTTTTAACAAAAAGACGCAACACCTCGTGCCACAATTGATTTATTGAAGGAAACGTTTGGTAATCGCATAGTTTCACGTTTCGGACCGTGAATTGGCCTCCAAGAGCGTGCAATTTAACAATGCTAGACTATTTGATGTGGAGATGGACCACTTTAACATTTGCCACGTTATTGCCTATATACGGTGACAAACATTGGAAAAAGTGATTGAAAATTGGACCTCCAGATTAGACTATGTCAGAGTCAGTCATTATTCGAATAAAGTCAATTTATAAAAATGATCTATGTTTTATTTAATTTCAAAGTTCTGTCCATACTACAAGGTGTTTCAAAAAAACACCTTGTAGTATGGAATACTAAGAAAATGAAGAGAGTTTTTAAGAAACACCTTGAATAAGACAGAAGGGAGCCGAACTCTAAAATATCACAAATACAGAGGTATAGACTCATTACTAAATGCAATCCAAGAGCTAACAATAACTATATGGATAAACTATCAGCGGATGAATGGAATACTGACATACTTGTACAAAATAAAATAGCTGGTAAATACTATTGTGATTTCTGAAATAAATACCGAGCTCGAAATAGTTCAGAATAGGAAATAATTTTTGAACATGCCAAAACTCTAAAAAGGTTATCTTAATTTCTTTCTTTTTCTATTAACAATTATATTATAACCGTCGAGGTTATTCTGTACCATTAACTAAAGTGTTTAAATAAATATATTTTCAGACAATGTAAAGAATCAATATCTATATTAGATTGTGGTGACGAAGCTGCTGCTTGGTTTTCAGCTTACATCTTGGGGGAACCTTCCGGGTTTAGATTAGGATACAACAATGGATCTCATAAAAGAACTGAAGTAAATCAATGCTATAATTATTTAATTCAACATAACAATCGTGGATTGACAACAGAATCAACGGTAAGAAAACATAAAAACTAATTTATTTAATATGGTTCTGTAACAATTTGGTTATAACATGATTAAAACTTAATATTTTGTACAACATAATGACGGTATTGGATTTTAATTTCGATGCAGGGCCACACAAATCTCAGGATTCCTAGTATTGTTAATATTTTGTATTTTTTATATTTTATATTTTGGAAATTTTTGGACATTTTTTTGTTTTTCACGTTACTACTTTCAGTCCGAAATTCGTTTTCAAACAAGTTTGTTAAATATACCAAATTCATACTCGTAACATCATCTTTGGTTGACAATCTTTTTGGTGTCTTGGTATGTTCAATAATTTCTTTCTATTATAATCTATTTCGGGCTTTGTTTTCCTATTTTTTAATTTTAAAATTAAAATATCTTGATTTGTTTTCCCTTGTTGTAGGTTTCGGTCTTTTCATTTTTATACTTCCTATTGGTATTTTATATACATTTTGGTCTTGTTTAAGCTTTAAAAATTTCTTAAAAGCCATCTTCAGAGCTATGGTCAAATATTAAAGTATCCTACTAGGAGTGAGAAAAATGCTGATTCTATTTTATTTTTTCTTTGTCACTGAAAAAAAAAATGAAAAAAACAAAAAAAGACTGTACACTTGACATCACAAAAAACTCATTAAAAAATTTGGTTATGGTATGGGTATCAGAACACAACCATTAATTGTCTATTTTATATAGGCTCAACAGTTGTAGAATCCAAAATAGGATTTATAAAAATTTCGTTTCTCTTCACAATTCAACATTCGTACATAGAGGTCAGAAAATTGATTTTAAAAATTCCAGAGCCCCCATCCGCTTCTATACACCAAGAATTATCAGAGAAGCCATAACAATTTAAAAAAAGGCCAAATTGTCTCCATAAAAGAGATAACAGCATACCATTACCTTCGACATGGAAACTTTTCACAAAGAAAATATCGTCCGCTCCACCCTCCAATCAAAGTTTCGCCGGCAGAAAGGTTTACGCAAACCTCTGCGACAACCAACACACCAACCTCCACGCCAGCCTCCACTCAAACCAAGTCACCATCGACGGTATAAATAAATCGTCCGCTGTTCACAATACTTGTAGTGCGTAGTAAAGTAGCCTCTAGGGGCTCGGGAGCCTTAGCCCCGTAATTATAGTCGGTACTCAAGCTCGTGCTCGAGCACGAGCTCCGCCAAGTCGAACTTACGTCAAAGTCATGCTCAAGTATTTGTTGTGTTCTATAAACGATACTTCGGGTATTCTCGTACATGGTTGATCCCAAGTACGGTAAAAGTAAATTACGAATAAACATCGAAAAAAAGAAGATTCTGTCAATTTTCTCATAATTGTGACTAAACTTTTAACGCCAAATTTAGTTTATGCTAATTATTGAAATTTTGTGTTTGAAATTAATATTTTGTGTTTGAAATTAATATTGGATATTAACTATTTTAAGGTATGTAATATATTATAAAAAAATATTTATTCTACAGAATTAATTTCCATTTTGTGTCTGAGGCATAATTTTAGATGTTCAAAATATATGCTTAGATGTATATTTGTTTTTGGATATATTTATATGTGTGTAATGCGTTACAATCATTATAATTATATTGCATGTGTAAGCCGTACGCTAAATAAATTGGTTATGTAAATTTTAGATGAGTGGAAATAGCAGTAAGTATGCACCTTACTCAACAAAGGAAAAGGTTCTCCTAATCCAACTGGTAACAGAAAACGGTGTGGTAGAGAACAAAAGGACAAACAGTGCTTCAGCAATGGAGAAAAATATGGCTTGGGAGTTCATAACAACAAATTATAACTGCCAGCTTGAGGTCAACATCTTGCTGCCTGATTATACCATCAGGCAGCAAGACAAGATTCATAGGATGAAAATGAAGATTTTAGAAGAAGATATGCTGAGGGCAATTCATTGAAGTTAATAGACTATAAAAAGGGTAAAAAATAGACTATAAAAAATAGATTTTATCATGTTTGACTTGTCACTGGAATTTGTCTATAATTAATTGTTTATTTTAAGGCGCTAGCCGATCTTTTTCCTTTGTTGGATACTCTGCAGTTTTAGGGAAAATGTAGGAATAAGCCACAATATGTTTATTTACTGATGTTTTTCAATCTATATGACCAGAGGCTCATAGATACAAAATTGTGATTTATTTTCTGAAAATAAATCACAATTTTGTATTTTTGGTAACAATACCTGGTCATAGAGATTAAAACATCAGTAACTATAACATATAAAACATTGTGGCTTATTCCCAACTGAAGATAGTGTTTGGGAAGTGTTAACTCTGTCTTTCAGTGGCCTTTTCACTTTCGGAGCACTGAATGTCAGAGTAGGGTCTGTTTTAGCAGGTAGGCATTTGACGTAGAATCAGCGACGAGAGGATGTTTCAAAGTATCTTAGCAACTATCGCCGGGACTACGAAGAATGAATCCTGCACTAAGGTCAGTCAGACGGCATCCTGAACTGAGATGTCTTTTTAAGATTTCAGACTCTCTATAAAGACGAAAAAAATATACTTTGTGTTTTTAAATCATGGTTATTTTCTTTCTATTCTCCTTCCTGTTTATTTTTTTTTCTAGATAGGATTTAATTTAGATTTAAGGTTCTTAACCCTTTAATTGGCAAGGGTATAAATACTTACTGAAAAATTAAAATTTGTTCAAATATGTAGCATAAAACAATCATCTTGAAATAATTTCTAGTTTTTTTTTGTTTTCCATTTCATACTTTTTTTTTACAGATTGTATCCTATAGGATACATTGCCAAAAAGTCAAGATATAACGTTTAGTTAATTTTGAATGTTTAAAATACTTTGCTTGAATTATATAACATCAATAGGGTTAAAAAATAAAAGATTACTACTAATAAATGCTTTAATAAAAATAATTACAATTTAGTTTTATGGTAAGTCATAAAACAGTTCCTTTCAGAGATAATACACAGTCGTGTATTACACTTCTGACACATAAATGTAGTTTGTCCTTTAGGGCACAAACGACACCGACCTTTAGTTGTTGTTAAGGGAAAATGATCAATGTTATCTAGCCTAGTATCGTCGGTCGGCCTAGTAACTACCGGACTTCGGATTTGTTTGTTAGGAAATGACCAAGCAGCTGGGCGACCTATTTTTGCTTTATTTGATTTTAGTAGACTTTGAATAATGTCGTTGCGGAACGTTTTCAATGGAATGATTTTTTTAATGTTCAGTGCATTGCAGTGTCTTCTATAAAGCAGCCATCCATTATTTACACTTATATCGAGCATTTGGGCTAGCAACTTCAGGTACCATCGATGTGACTTTAGGCCAGTTCGATATAAAGACACAAGCATGTCAGCAAGGTCTACGCCTCCCATATGCTTATTATATTCTAAAACTACCTGGGGACATAATACGTTAATTTTTTTCTTTTGTTCCTTACAGTATCTTTGAACATGAGATGTTGTTGTAGTATCAGAAAATGATGATACTAAATTAACACATTTATTATCTGCCCATTTGGTAATACTAATTTTCATTTCGTTGTCGCTAACACTTTCGAAGCTACCTCGTCCTCTTTTAAGTAACACCTTGTCAGAAACCATAGTACAATTTCTTATTCTATTTTTTTGAACTGTCCCTAGGCTGAATATGCCTAACTCACTTCTTAGATATGTAACTAATTCAAGTGAAGTAAACCAATTATCAAAATATACAATTTTACATGGTTTCTCATGAATACTTCTACATAAGGCTACTACCACTTTCTGCGGTATTCCAAAGTATTTTTCCTCATAATTTGTAAAAATGTGATTCAAAAAGGTATTTTCACCAGCATAAGGAAAAAAATCATATACAATACCGCTCACTCCACATCTAACAAATAATTTAAACCCCCATTTTTTCGGCTTGTTTTTTATATATTGTCGTCTAGTTCCTGCTCGTGTTCCCTTATATGGGACCATCATTTCATCTATCGAAAAACGCTGTTCTTCTGGAATCGCTAAGCAGTTTTGGCGTACATGTTCCAACAATGGACGGACTTTAAAGTACCTGTCGGTGCCATTATCATCTTCATTGTTTGCGAAATGAATGTTTCTTCTGAGACTTTGATAACGTTTCAGAGGCATCACGTCAGCTACTTGATCATAACGGAATAATTGAGACCAAAAATCGCAATAGGAAGGCATGCTGACTATACCCATCAACAGCTCAATGCCAACGAAAGATTTTATTTCCTTAATATCAGTGGCTACGGATTTACCTGTTCTCTGGGTTGAATACAGATTTGTATTTTCTGCAATTATCGAAAACAGATCGTCCTTGAAAAACATTTGGAAATAAGTCAATGGTGATGAAATATCAGTTATACTACTGCAAATAGGTTCTGGAATTTCTACTGGATAACAAAACTCTGGAGAGTTAAAATTAAAATCCATTTTCTGCCGTTGAATGTTAACCTTCTTAGGTACAGGTGGTAAAGGATCCGGTATATTTGGTTCTAATGAAGTCAAAGAATTGTTTAAAGCTCTTTCTGATCTTCGAACAGATTCTGTGGCAACATCATTTTCACTCTGAAATGGTTCTAAATACATATTATCATCAAATATAATTTCAATGTCCATATTATTTTGGTCATAATTTGTTTCCAAAACATCCTCTGTGTCTGAAACATCCGAATCGTCAGAGTCTATTGGTGGTAACATTGCGATTATATTCATTGTTCGTTTAGAATAAACTCCAAATTCGCGACTTGCCATCTGAAAACAAAAAATAACAAGTTAATTTATCTAATTATTCATACCACATTGTTAGGCAATGTATCTTTTAAGATACCACTAAAATCCGTTCGTTATAACTGAGAACCCGGCAATGTTTCTTTAAAGATACATAGTTTTAAATGAGACTTCATACAAAAATTATAAAATAATATGGAACAAACAACTTAATATTACATCTCAGTAGACTTACCTTTACCAAAATAAACAGTTATCAGCATAAAATCTCTAAAAACTTTTCAATAAACGCTGTTTACATGGGATCAGTTAGTTCACTAACCTAAAAATTGCAACATGGTAAATTTACGTCACCTGTAGAACGTTTGTAATAGATCCTATAGATGGCGACTCACAACTAGTTATAAAAGAAAGGGTGTATTTAAAGATACATTACCAAAGACTGGCATATTTTTAAAGAAAATACGTTGATACAAATTTTTCCTTGATATGTATCTTTAAAGATACATTATCAATTAAAGGGTTAATATTTTAATTTCCGCTGGTGAGATATGGTTTTACCTTTTTATTTGTTGTATAGTCTTTTGTTTTTAGACTATGTATGTTTCTTTTTCAGTTTTGTTAAGTATTGATTGCAATACATAGATCATAATATTTTTATGTTGTTTACTAAAAATTATTAAAATTTTTTAATAAATTGCTGCTACTTCAACATACATATATACATGTATATATATATATATATATATATATATATATATATATATATATATATATATATATATAATTACATCATTTTTTGTAATGTTCTAATTGTTTTACAGTTTACTCCTGATGAAACTATAAAATAAAATAATCTATTTTATAATGTATTTAATTATAACTGTATAATTTTTTAAATAAAGAATATTAATATTCTAAATTTGTATTAATTTTTATTTGGTAAGGAAAGGTTTTATGAAAGGAATAAACACTTAATTAAAATGAGGGAAACTCCTTGTACTCAGTAAAGACATACTTGCTTAAGTTGTCTGAGCATAGTGAGGGAAAAACCCTCATTTATTTTAAAATTAAAACAAATAAATACATTTTTATAAATAAGACAAAAACATACTATATCTAATATAATATAGGTATTTAATTCTCAAAATAAACAACTTTGAATTGAACAAAGATTAGATATAAGAAAGATATAAAATAAAATACTGAAATTATAACAATAAAAAATTGGAAAAAAAAACAACAAAAAGTGTTATCAAGCTAATGATAATCATTCTGACATTTTGAGAAATAAGGTAGAACATACATAATATAAGTATTCAATATTATATTTACATTATCATGAATAACATTGGTGAATAAAATGTGTCCTAAAATTTAAACCTCGTTCCATATCATTAACGTTTCTACAAAGAATTTAGATGCTTTTACTACATTAGTATTTTTTAGAAAATCATCATCACTATCATTATTTTCCTGTAAACATATATTGTAAAGTACTGCTGTAGCACTTATTATGCAAGATATGTATTTAATTTGGTTTGTAGGCCTCATTGCAGACAGGGAAATCATATTTTCCAGGTTCCAAATATCCATTTGGCAACATTTCTTACATTATTATATCTATTTTGTTGATCATTGCCTAAAAAGATGTATCTATCAAATAACCTATTTTTTATTTAGCCAATTATCAATAAATACCTGGCTGTGATACTGGAGTATGTAGATAGTACCTGCACTGCATACATATTCACTATTCATAATAATTCTGGAATTTGTCCCCTTTCCATTCTAACTTTTAATCAATTTTGATCAAATAATAAGCTACCAATACTTGATCCTGGATGTTGAACAACAATATTAATCTCAAAAAACAACAATATTGTATTTGAAATATTCATAAATATAAACAAACAAGTTAGGTTAGGATCCCGTGCTCAAGGCAGGTCGATCCGATGCTTGAGTACGAGCTGTCATTTCTGGGTACTCAAGCTCGACTTCGTGCTTGAGAACGGTTTATAGAACACAAATTTGATTCAAGGTCGACCTCCAGTATCGATCGATACTTGAGCGTCGTTTATAAATATGGGCCTTAGACTTTGGAAAGTGAGACTGGTTAGCGGTTAGGGATAGCCAATATTTATGCAAAACGCGCAATTTTTCTTCTTGGCGCTTACAAATAAGCTATTGCTTCTCCAGGTATCTGGTTAGCTCTTCTCTTTATCTGTTTATAGCTTGGATCTATACTTGAAGAATATTAAAGAGAATGTTCATTTTGGTGTTGGGAAAGGCCCTTTTTCAGAATGAGTGCTAGATTCTTCCATGAAAGCTGAAGCTAACAACTGTCTATCGGAATACCTTCTGATGCCTCCCAAGTTTACTTATCGAGCATGCATTTGATATTACAACGATTTCTGTGTAGAAAATTAAAATTCATATAGCGCGCATATCAAAGTACAACAAATACATAAAAGATTATTTTACATTATTTCAAGAAATGTACACAAAAGTAATCATAGTATTCCTTATATAATTAATATTATACTATGTTTTAATAATATAAAATTATTAAACTGATGATATTAAGGCTGTTTTATCGGTACACCAAAACCTAGAGATAGTGTTTTCTCTGTTATTTACCGAAAAAATGTCTCGAAATTTGGACACGTTATTCAAAATTATGTTGCCTTTAAACTGATGGTTTTACTTGTTAAATTTTTTTTTTGAAATATCGGATTATGCAGTTTAACGTTCTATTATAACCAAACTTTTTACGCCCATCACTTGAAAGAGTTTTTTTTCTGTAATCGTTGATTTTTTTTTACCTTGCTGTGTCCAGTAATAATCGAGAAAAGCGTGTTCAAACTTTGAAGAAAATTGCTAAAAAATACTGAAATCTAATAGTGAAACGTGTTACTCATCATTGGCACTTAGTTTCACCGTTATCGGCTTCATGACGTCAAATCTCCTGAACGTACGGTCAGTTAGTTCGATTTGAAATAATTTTCGCTAACTGCGAAATTTTTTATTTGTTGGTGACAACAAATTGTATTTTTTTTTGATAATATTTTTATGTTATTTTAAATTTATTATAAATAAACACCAAGATGTTTTTTGCAGTCACGTTTCACAAATTTTTATTATGCTATATTTAAATTTAAATATAATACTATATTTAGCTAAGACCTATAAATTAAAAATGTGATAATGCTTTTTAAGATAAGACTCAGTTGCTCCCATACAGTCTTCGTAGATACACCGTCTCAAGACTAGCAACTTCAACGTGGAGTCATATGTCGCCATGTTACCTAATCCAACGGTAACTTTAACGTCTTAAGTCATCATAAGAAATTTTATAAACCAAACGTAATCATTTATTTATTAACGGGTTTTTACCCATATATTTAGTGGCTACATTCATGTACTCTTAGACACTGATGATTGAATATGGATTCCGAAAACGTTTTGTATGGGAATAAACCCATACAGTATGTTAAACCAAACGTTTAACTTAGCCCGTTTGGGTTCTTAATATATACCTTTTACAAAGGATTTTTAATTAATTATTTACTTTTTTCTTACATACTCACTCTAATAGATTTTTTTATGAGTATTTGTTAAGACTGATATCAACTGCCCGTTTTTCTCTTTTCCAGAATATTTTTTGTATATTAATTAGATAATTAAAGCTACGATTTTATATTTAATTGCCATTTTTTATTTACAGGGATTAAACGCAGATCTTTGCGCTTTGCATCTTATAAGTGCATCGTCTGTTCAAGACATCACTAAAAGAACAGGCATCCCTGAAATAAATGAAGACTGTTTTAGACCTAACCTAATAGTAGAAGATCAGTTCTTAGAACCGTTCGCTGAAGATAATTGGGAATACATTCGAGTAGGAGAAGTTATACTAAAAAGCGTTTTAGAATGTACGAGGTGTATTATGACCTGCATTAATATGGAGACTGGTATTAGAAGAAGAGATAGGGAGCCATTAAAAACTATGGAAAGGTAAAGTTCCTAATAGGATTAGTTTTTATTTAATGCATTTGATTTGAATTTTGAAGAGATTTTCCTCTCATGCGGAAATACATAACCCGTCATGCAAACAGACGTACATATTAGATAGGTTTAGTGATGAGTCATGGTATAAGTGAGTCATGAGTCAATTTCATGGTATAAAGTACCTCAAGTACAATTTGTAATTAAAAAATATTCTTTACTGATTTGTGGCTGTAACGAAATATACAAGGCAGGAAAAATACCAGTGGCGTGGCACAAATCGGAGTTCGTACTATTTCCCAAAAAACCATGAACAAAAGTTTGTGAAGACTATAGAGACCTAAAAATAATAGCTAACCTGTATTGGAATCAATCAGCGGTGCTCCAGATAGATATAGAATATACAGATCAAGTCAAAATCTTTAGGGGAGTGAGATAGGGGTGCATATTTTCATCACTGATAGTCAATCTGTACTCGGAGCACATTTTTGAAGAGGCTGTAAAAGATATTGATGAAGGCATCTCAATGAATGGATCAAGCTCAATAACCTGCGGTATGCAGATGATACAATAGTGTTTTCCAATACCGTAGAAGGGCTGCAAAACTTAAATGAACAATATAACGGAAACAAGTAGAACATATAGACTGGATATAAACACCAGCAAAACTAAGCTAACTATCATCAACAAGGAAAATATAACTGGAGCAAATCTGTATGTGAACTAAATGAGAATTAAATGTATCTCACAGTACAACTACTTGGAAACTATAATCAATGAGTCGTGGGACAATACCCAAGAGATTAAATGTCGCATGGGAAAGGCAAAAAGTGCATTCTTAACTATGAGTTCATAGTTCAAGAGCCATAACTTCACCCTAGAAACAAAAATATGGCTACTTTAAATGTTATGTGTACTCAGTGCTTCTGTACGGAGTAGAAACGTGGACATTGACTGCGGAAACTCTATCAAAACTTTAGGCTTCTGAGCTATGGTCATACAGAAGGATCATGAAGATACCATGGACAAACGAATTCACCAACGAATAAGTACTACGGAGGTTGAACACAACTGCGGATTTGGTTAACATTGTGAAGGGTCGTTAGCTGCAGTACTTGTGACATATAATTCGAAATAAAAGCAGATATGAGCTACTCCAATGCATTTTGCAAGGTAAAATTGAAGGAAAAAGGGCCCCAGTATGAAGAAGAAGATCTTGGCTTGCTAACCTGAGAGCATGGTATAGAAACACCTCAACATAGCTAGTCCTCATAGTAACCAACAAAGTCATCATAGCCAGAATGATCAGCAACGTTTGGAACGAACAGGCACCCTAAGAAGAAGAAGGGTGTAGCGTGATGAAATAAAATCTGGTAATAGTCGCAAGGTATAATACCACGTGGAAACAGAGACTAGAGCAAGGTGCCATTTTTGAGAACTGGAACAACCACCAAACCTAAAAAAGATATACCTACTTTGTAATATGTATATCATTTCAGGTAATCCTTGGCAATACCATAAGTATGTCAAAAAATTTAATAAAGGCCTGCGTCAAGAATATGTTCTGACTCTACTACCCTTTAGTATGTATATAGCAGATATGCCAAAATTCAGAGCTAAAAAGTTTGTATATACAGAAGGAGCTATAGTTACGCAACACCAAAATCTAAAACACACCGAGATCGTCCTAAAAAAAAACCTAATAATAATAACAAAATATCTCCTAGACCGGCAAAAATAAAGACCACGTGGTTTCCCCCCTTATAATAAATTAGTTAATGTGCAACCTACGATACACTTTAATGGTAAAGTGCTTCCCTTATAATACATCCCAAAGTACCGAGCATTATGCTCGATAAAATTCTGCGCTACAAACATCTTACTAACACCGCCGCAAAAATCCGTACCTTGAACAGCATTGTCCAAAAATTAGTCGGTACAAGCAGGAGGTCTAATGCATCTATACTGCGCAGCTCAGACCTAAGTCTCGTTTACTCGACAGCGAAATATTGTTCTCCAGTGTTGTTAAATAGAACAAATTCACACAAAGAAGTTGGATGTCGAACTAAATCAACAATGATAATCATTTTCAGGAAGTACATCAATTTGTTGTAGAAGTAAATTAAGGATGTGGGTTATGAGAATAGTTGGCGATGGAGAAGGAGGAAATCTCGATTGAATGAGACATGACGATTAACACAATTTGAACTTTTTGTTTTTTTTTAAGAATTTCAAGGTCTTCGTATAAGTCTAGTTTGAGGAAGTTTTTTGGGGAATATTGTGAATAAGTGAAACGTCTTCTGGGAGATTGAGGGTGTGATTGTGTTCTTTGAGATGTTGATATAATGTGGAAGTGTTTTCTCTTTTTGTGTGCTCTAGAGAGCGTGAAGACAGTGATCTAAATGTTATGGAATTAGATATGTGGTGACCTAAATTATTGGGTACTAAAGAAAACATGGATAGTTTTAACCGAACGTTGGATGTGATTTCGAATATTTTCAGAAAGACTTTCGTGATGGTATGGGAATGAAACGTAATTGGGTTTGGTGGTAAGATCCTAAGGTGGTAATTCCAAAGATCCCATCAATTATATGAACCGTAGTGGTGTTTACAGACTAAAATGTTCAGATTGTGATGCCACCTACATAGGTAGAACATGTAGATCACTGTCTTCACGCTCTCTAGAGCACACAAAAAGAGAAAACACTTCCACTTTCTCTCAACATCGCAAAGAACACAACCACACCCTTAATATCCCAGAACATGTTTCACTTATTCACAAAATCCTCCAAAAAAACTTCCTCAAACTAGACTTAAACGAAGACCTTGAAATACTTAAAGAAAAACAAAAAAGTTCAAATTGTGTTAATCGTCATGTCTTATTCAATCGAGACTTCCTCCCTCTTCATCGCCAACTATTCTCATAACCCACATCCTTAATTTACTTCTACAACAAATCTATATTTGGCATTATTCGTTCGTCAACTATTCATCTTCCTTAGTTGACTCCAAAACCTCTCTTTCAATACATCATACTCTCCATGGTTTCCCACTTCTTTCTATTTAAAGTAAACTTCAAGTCTCACCGCTATACCTAATGTTTTCCATGCTTCTTTTCGACACCTCTAGATTCAGAGTAGATTATTCGTCATCCCCCTCCTAAATTATTCAGTTCTTATTTTACTTATCTACATAACTCCCTCAGGGTTTGGTTTCGGATCTCTGGAGACCTCAGCCTTCTTTAGTCTTTCTTCTTCTCACAATTTTGAAAAACATCACAATTTTCTCTCTTTTACTTAAATTTAACAGAGCTACCCACAACCATGTCATTTTCACAGCTCTTGTCAATATATACCAATAGTCAATTAAGCTCATGAACTTATAACTTATCCTTTTATATTCCTCGTGTACCTAGTGTTCATCAACTAAATCCATTAAAGGTTTAATCTTTGTCAAAAAGCTATAATAAATGTCATAGCAAAGGAAGAAATTTGGAACTCCACATGTTAACAGAAAAAACAATGGAATTCATTGTAGGTTCATTGGAAAATGACGAATGTGGTAATGATGATGATAATGATGATGATACTATCTAGTTCGAAGAGAACAACACATTTGTTTAGGTATGTAATAAATATATCTGCTTATTGACATTAAGGCGTGCAATTCTGGCTTAAACATTTAATGCTTGCTCATGTTCATTTTATGTTGTATTGCAATTAAAGTTTATCAGGGTAATCGTATTATTTCCACTATCATACATTTTGAAATCAAGTATAGTTTACATTAAATCGATGCTATTTAAAAAGTATTCCACACGTACTTGTGCAACCTTTTCATCATAGATATTAAAATTTAACCACCCTAAAATCTGGGCACACTCTATACCAATATAATTCAGAAGAGAACCACGGCCAAGGAGGAGTGGCTTTCATGGTCAACCGAAGAATAGAACACCAGATTGTGAAATACTCAGCAGTGTCGGAAAGAGTGATATATCTTGTATTAAAACTTACAGATATAAATAAACGATATAGCTTACAGATAATACACTGCTATGCTCCAACTTTCACTGCGGATGACGAGTCAATAGAACAACTCTACGAAGATATAACGCGAGCTAAAGACCTAGAAAAAACACACTATGTTATCATTACCGTAGATTTTAATGCAAAAATAGGGCGGCGAATACCAGGCGACTCAGACTACATAGGAAATTTCGGTCTAGGTAACAGAAACACCAGAGGAGAGACATTAGCAAATTACGTAAGCACCGAAAAAATGTTTTGCCTGAACACGTTCTATAAAAAACAAATACAAAGAAAGTGGACATGGCGTAGCCCTGACGTTCAGATTAAGAATGAAATAGATTTTATCCTTTTCAGTGATAGATCAATATGTAAAAAACATCGAGGTGTTGAAGAAATTTAACACCGGCAGTGACCATAGACTACTTCGTGCTGATATACGTATTAACGTAAAGAGAGAAAGACGGAAACTATTAACAACAAACCCTTTACCGACGGCAGACATCCTAGCCAGTAATAAAGAGAAATTATATTATATATCCTGTTTTTTAGGCGTTACGCCCGTCCGGTAGGGATCTATGGAGGAGTATCACCGAGCAGCAAGCCCTTATCTCTTGCCATACTGCTCCACCATAGGCCGATCAGATCCCAGCATGTCCTAGTCTAAGCCACAGATTCTTCTAGAATTTTAAACTGCTGCGTTAGACTTTTTGTTTTCTGTACAAATAGCTGGGGCTCGAACCCACATCCACTGAACCATTCGACAGTGAAGCGAATGAAAGGCAGCCGCACAGCCCGCTGAGCTATCTGACCGACAATAAAGAGAAATACCAAGAGGAATTAACACGGAAACTAGTAGCAAATACCTTTGAGCACAAGAATATAGATGAACTAGCTGAGAAAATAACTAAAGACATACAAACAATCACTAAGAAACTTTGTTGCAGAATAAGAAAACAAAAAGAAGCTAAACTAAAACCCGAGACTCTAGAACATATAGAGAAAAGAAGAAGAACGAACAGAGATAACCCGGACTACAAAGCGCTCAACAAAAGCGTTAAGAAAAATATTCGAAAAGACCTCAGAGCTTATAGAACAAACCAGATTCTTGAAACCATAGAGAACAATAAGAACATGAAAGTACTGAAAACATGTAAATCCATTGGCAGCAATAAAATCATAAAGATAAAAGACGACCGTGGAACATTGTGCTCGCATAAGGAAGAGATCGTTAGAGAAATCCGAAAATTTTATGAGAAGCTATATACTTCTACTATTCCCAACCCTGGTATACCAACAAAATATATCTTAAATGTGGGCTCAGAGGATCTCCCTGAAATAATAACATCAGAACTTAGAGCTGCCCTAAAACAAATGAAAAATGGGAAAACACCAGGAGAAGATAAGATTACTTCGGAAATTGGGCCAAAAAGAGATTAAAAGTAGATGGAGTATATCTTAACCATTTGCGTTTCGCAGACGACATAGTACTAATAAGCACAGATATCCATGAACTGAAATCAATGCTACAAGATTTAAATCACAAATTGAATCAAATGGATTAAAAATGAATCTCGACAAAACAAAGATATTAAGCAACAGTCTAGAAAACATCACGATAGATAACATCAATATAGAAAAGGTAGACCAATATATATATATATATATATATATATATATATATATATATATATATATATATATATATAGGACATAAAAACGAAAAGGAAAACCAAACCCTAGAAATTAAAAGAAAGACACAATTGTCATGGGCTGCTTTTGGTAAGTTGAGCTTAATTTTAAAAGACAAAAAAATCCCAATTCACTTAAAACGAAAAACCTATGACACTTGTATACTACCAGTTGCAACTTATGGGTTGGAAACTACGGCAATAACAAGAAAAATGGCAGAACAATTAAAAGTAACTCAACGGGCCATGGAGAGGGCCATGTTAAATATAAGCCTCAGAGACAAAATTCCTAACACCGAAATACGTCGAAGAACTAAAGTAACTAACATCCTGGGAAAAATAGCGACATTGAGATGGCAATGGGTAGCACATGTAACAAGACAAGACACCAACAGATGGTCTCGTAAAGTGACATTCCGGAGACCTCGAGAAACAAAAAGAAGCGTGGGAAGACCCATAAAGAGATGGATAGACGATATAACAGCTGTAACTGGAAAGCAGTGGATGAGAATTGAAAAAGATAGGGAAGCTTGGAAGCAATTGGAGGAGGCCTATGTCCAACAATGGATAAATGAAGGCTGAAGAAGAAGAGAAGAAGAAAATTAAAATTTAAATAGATATTTCCGTTTGGTTAATTGTTTCTAACTTTAATCATGGTTTTCGTCTTGGTGATATTTATTTTCAAATTCAAAGCTTTTCAAAGAAAGTCAGATTATTTAAAATACATTGAATGTTGTTAACGTTATCTGCCAGAATCACTGTGTCGTATATATACTTAATGTTGGTAATATATATGCTTTATATACAGTTACACTTTATTTCTAGGCTTATTTAAGCCTCGTTTGTTATAATATAAACAAATTCCATGTTCCAGGTATAGGATGAGTACCGGACCAGTGAGAGCATCTGTGATGGGAATTTATCTTGAAGTCGTTAAAACTGGTAACATTTCTTTAGGGGACACTGTATACATTTCAAATACATTAGAAACAAGAAAACGGAAATGTTTAATGTAATTTTGTAACTATAATATTAAGTATATATAAAAAATAAAGTCATAAAAAATAAAAAAACATCTTTATTACAACTTAAAAACCATTTCAAATGCAAAAAATTACACTGTTCTTTTAGCTTTTTTTGTTATATTTTTGACTATTCTATATATCTAGATTTTACCCGCCTTGTTATCAAGTTTAAATTTTTATACTATAACGAGCGGATTCCGCCATCATGCGCTAAGAGCGAGTGAAACCGGCTGTCCCTTTCTCTGTCTGCACTTTCTCCAGCGGCCGACCACTACCATCGATGCGCGCTGGAGATGGAACACCGCCAAAAATATAAAACGCCTTAAAAGCTTCAGAAAGAACGAAGTTCAATCCTAAGTACTCCTACCCCGGGTCTTTTATTATTGATCAAAGCTCAACAAACTGTCCTTTCCGTTCCCCGTCTGCGATCGAGTATTGATCAATCCTTGTTCGTTATCGAGTAATCATCTATCAGCCACCTCTAATCTAGACTAATTATTGATTAGTCTTCCCCGATTTTTGGATATTGACCAAAATATCATCCTTTGCCTTACCCTTCCTAATATTATCAATATTTATCTTTCGCAGGTATTACTGGCGGACCGCAGGGCCGTCTATTTTATTTACTAGGATTCCTATTTTTATTTCATTGTACATATTATATAGAAGTTAATTTTATTTTGTTATATATTTAAATATATTTTATTTAGATTAAACTTGTGTTTTACTGAGTTTGTAACAATAAAAGATACACCCCCGTGTTTTTTATAGTGGCAGCCTTCTGTTTCTTCTGGTTTCGGTTGTTGAATTTCATTCAACAACCTCTTCAATTTATGTAAAAATCTACTGGAGCCAGATTTCATTGTCCTCTTTACTGGCCTTCTTGTAAACAACTGTGAATCCTTTTTGTCAACAGCATCTACAATTCTTACAGACTTATTGTGAATCAAACCATTATAACGGTATGAACTCAAGTTAGTTAGATTGTTATCTTTAGTGCTAAACGGTTTGGAAATGTTCATTTTCTGCGTTATTATTGTGGATAATTCCCCACGCTAAATGCGATGACATTTTGACCTTATTAACTTTAGTTTTGAAAAAGGCTGGGTCTAATATCATAGAGCTAACCCGTCTCAAATTGGCGCTCAAGCAGGAGCAGCCGATGGTAAGAGCTATTGGCGCATGATGGCATCATGCAACTGTTACAAAACACTTCTACTTTATCTATTGGCACTGCTACTTTCGGTTTTCTTGTAACGCTTTTTCACCTACTTTTTCAAACGCGTCTCTAATTACTGCACGTTTTTTAATTAATAAACATTTACATTTTAATATTCTGGTAAGCATTTTACCAGAAACTGAAAACATTTTAGAGGAATATTTTTAAATATGGGAATTTCTTTTTGTATAATTTGTCCAAAAATATTAGAGGTTACTTCGGAAAACCGCTTTGCTGCTTAACCAATCTATGAGATCTTTTTTCACTTATTATAATGTTTTGATCTTCTTCTTCGAATGCCTTCTTCTCTCGAAGATCGGGAGCAATTTTGGCAAATTCTTCTCTGTTTTGGTTATTTTTTGGCAAATCGTTTGAGACCAAGCCTATAAAATCTCGTATATTATAAGCGGGGAGTACTGTTTTCTTCGTGATCCACGTTTGCTCTTAGTTTTAACCTCGATTAGCAAATCTTATTTGTCATTTTTCATTACATGTCGAAGATGCAGTTTTTGGTTTTTTATGATTTTAATAAGATGATATTTTCTGCTCATTCGGTAGAGAACTTATACGTTGGTGGTATGGGAAGTCCAAGATATTATTAAAATTGGTCTCTTTGACCAGGTTTCAAATGCTTCAAGTCTGTTTAAACTGGAAACTTTTAGCGTCTACGCTTTTTCTCCATACAACAGTGTGGACTATGTGTAGCACTTCACAAAATTATATCTTATTTGTACGAGTGGCCTATCACATAAGAGTAACATTTTTAAAACCATTTCAATTCGGGTTCGGCTTTCTAAGTTAGGATTCAGATTTTCACTGATCCAGTCGCACAGGTATTCAAACTTAGATACTTTGGTTACTTTTGTAGCGTATATATTTATGTGCACTGGTTGATTCGGATTTCGACTTACCAACATCTTCGTTTTTGCGGTATTGATTTTTTACGCCCAATATCCTTTAATTGATATCTTATCAAGCAGACGCTGTAGGCCATCGGGAATCTGTCCAATTATATGTGGCATCTTCATATCTTAAGGTAATGGTTATTTTACAGAACTGATCGGTAAAAAATGTTATTTGGCTAAGATATCTATGAGAACATTGGAACTTTATATTTTCATGTTAGTCTTTTTTTTTGAGTTTACAATAAATTCTAACAAATCATGATCAACATATCGTTTATCTTCTTCAATATGAGTAAACCTGAGTAAATGTGAGGTAGACATACCTTTAGTAAATACCTAACAAGCATTTCTAAGTGTGCAAAAAGTGCTTCATTAATGTACGTTCCATATATTCAAGATCATATAATGGCGGAGTTAACGAACAGGGTATATTGGAAAGGAGATATAAATTCGAACTCTATAGATGCTATAGACTTTATGGTAATGTAGATATCGTGAAAACCATCAAAATAAACCACCTTATATGAGTGGGCAACTTTATGACGCGGATGGATGAAAGTGATCCTGCTAAAATAAACATGCTAAATAAACCAGTCGGGAGAAAAAGAAGGGCGCGACCTAAACTGAGATGTCTGGACGTTGTGCAGGACCATTTAAGGGAGATTGGAGTAAGGGGATGGAGAAGACAAATACTTGATAGAGAAAGATTACGTACCCCTGATTTCGGCCCTGTGTTTCACCGCCGAAATATTTCACGAACTGATTATATCGATACAAAGATGGCATTCGAGAATTTACGAAATTCTCGTCGCCCAGTAGGTACCTAAGCTGTTTTCCAGAACAATTCGTTCTTGCTTTGATTATTAGTACTGACGTATCTGACAGATACGTATGTCTACGTGTCTGTGCGAACTGATTTGTAAAAAATAACTATTAAAATAATTTGTAATTGAGTTTTTGAGTTAAATAAAGTTGTAAACCACATTGGGCTTCTTTTAATCTCTAAACCCACATAACAACGTGACAATACTATGACACAAAATTCTTGGCGTACTTACGCGTATTAACGCCAATCGACTATTGCAACATTTAAGTAGCTAGTAATAGAGTTTGCCATAGAGGACAGCATGTCCTAAAATATAAATATAAATTTTATGAACTAAAAATATGTACCCTGTGAATGCGATCAACAAAAGGTTTGAATTATGTTAAATGTCGACGTAGTGACGTTCTATTGAGAGTTTTTAAGATCTTTTTGATAATATATTAAATAAATAACTATAAAAAAGTAAGACTCACCTTATAAGACCAAGAAAGATAAGAACGTTGTAAATAGTGAACAGGAAAAGTACGTAAAATGATTTTTTTACCATAATTCGAGAAAAATTGTTCACAATTGTGCAATGTGGATAAATTATTTTAAAAATAAAATGCATGCACTTTTCATCAAATTCTATTTGTTATAAAATATCGTTTATTTTCTGGAGATTTTTTCCTGATTACGTTTTTCTTGTTTCGGTAATAGTTCGTTGCATTCGTTGTTTCAAAAATCTATTTGTTAAATTAAGTTTCTAAACTATAATAAATTCCTATCATGATTGTGGGAGTGGGATATAAATATTCAAGAGTGTCATTACAGGCTTTAAAGGCGCTGGTAAATGAGAATTTATTTTGAAAGGAGTAAAAGTAGACGTTTATGTCATTTTTTGACCGAGTTCACTTAATATTGCTTTTCGTTGCTATTAGTACAAAGTTAACAATTCTACATGTTCTGTTTAATACATCGATCAATCTGGGCCTAACAATGAGACGGCGAGTCTAGTGAATTTTCCATAAGGCGTTTTAGTATTCCTAACTTATAAAGAAACTGAGGGAAAAAAGGAGTTGGTAGGAAGAAATATTAATGACTCTGAAACATTCGTCAATGGATTGGCTTATCAGCAGATGAATTGTTACATGCCGCGCAAGATCGAGAACAGTATCGGCAAATAGTCATGGAAAGAAGAGGAACCAGCACAAGCATACTCTGAATATTGTATGTCATTTGGATCATTATTTGCCGAGTTACAGTGCTTGAAATGACGATACTTTTGTGATTTTTATAAACAATGAATTTAAAGCAATTTATTTTGTTGATTTATCACTGTTATTTGATGGGAAAAAACAAAGTCCAAACTGAGCAAGTGTTACCGGGACTCTACTCTATCGATTACAATCATTAAATGATGGTTTGCTAAATTCAAACGCAAAGTGAAGTTGCAAGAGATAGCTGAGACTATCAAGAGACACCAGTAATAGATAGCTGCGAAGGGTAACGTTTTGACTAATGTATGTTTAATCAGAATAAGTCGGAGTTTGTGCATCGGTATGTCAAAATGGATGAAACCTGTTCCCATCCCTTCACTGCAGAATCAAATCAGCAGCCATCCGAGTGGACAGCACCTGGAGAAAGCCGTTTAATGCTACCAAAGACACAACAAAATGCCGAAACGGTTATGGCTTCTATAGTTAGAGACCCGCAAAGAATTATTTTTATTGACTGTTTTGAAACATGGAGAAACTATAAATATCGACTACTATATCGTTTTATTGGAGCATTTGAAGACCGAAACCACATTTGTTAAAGAAAAAATTGTTGTTTCACCAAGCCAATGTACCGTGTTATAAGGCGATAAAAAAGATAGCAAAAATACACAAATTGAAGAAATAAATCGCTAAAACTGAAGCCTATTTTGAAGTCAAAGATAAATCATGTTACAAGGGCGGCATCAAAAAATTAGAAATACGTTGGAATGATTTGTATTTTTACATAAATATTTTATAAATTAAAAGGTTTAGTTATTTAAAACCTTTTTATTGATATTCATTATTTTTGTTCTGAAAATGCTACTGA